GACATCCGGAGTGCCCCAGGGCTCCATTTTAGGTCCCCTGCTCTTCCTCACATACGTTAATGACCTCCCCTATTCAATTCCCAATATTTCTTTGTTTGCAGATGATACCACTGTCCTTGCTTCCTCCCCATCTCACACCACCCTGTACCCCAAAGTTCAGACCTGGATCAACGACATTGTTCACTGGATGAGCACTTGGTACCTTAAGCCAAATGTGACCAAAACCGAGCTCCTCCTTTTTCCCCCTCCCACAGATCCAGTGCCCATCTTCCACTTTCCCGATGATCCCGGTCACCCTATCTCTGTAGCGCCCCACCATAAACACCTTGGCATTGTCATAGATTCCGCCCTCTCCTGGCCTCACCATGCTGATCATGTGTCGTCCAAAGTATGCCGATCTGTCGGCATAATGTCAAGTCACTTGTCCCATTTGCCCAAAAATTGCCGGATTAATTTTTATAAATCATACATTCTTCCCCTCTTCACGTACGGCTTCCCTGCCTTGTCCACCATTAACAAAACCCACATAGGTAAATTAAAAGTTCTCCATCGCCGTATACTGCGAATCATATTCCGTACTGATCGTTATATCTCAAATCTAGACTTGTATGCTGCTGCATCCACTACCACTCTGCAACATTACCTTGATGCTTCCAAGTGCACCCTGGCACATTCAATTTTCCTTGACCAGCACCCTGCTCATTTACAGTCCCTTAACCCTTTACCGGCAGCCCCATACTTGAATGCGTCAACGTTGACGCATTCGACAGGCATACAAAACTATGCCTGGCATGACGGGAAGCATCAGCCCACGGGGATTTCCCGTGGCCCTCACACAGCCTAGGTATGATCCTATCGGTAGCTGAAGAGATCCACGCGTGTCCCATTTGATTTCATTGAGAACTGCGCGATCGAAAACTTACGGAAATACACGCGCGCCGACAATGCCGCCCGCCTCCGTCAAAACATCGTCAGGTGCATTTCTCTTGCGCAGTGAGTTCCTTTCGTCCTCGGATAACTTCTCCGACGACGACCTAGCAGTCATTCGCTCTGGGACCGACGACAGATAGAAAAATACTTCGTTCCAGCCGCCGGTGCAAGCGAATTTCAAATTACGGAGCGGTGCGCACGCCAAGCAAATTCGCACGCAAATATGGGGAGCGCCAGCCGCTGAAGATGATGTCGTCGTGATGTACCTGGAAGAATCTGATGGTGCTTATGGTGGGGAAGGCATGGAGAGCGATCCCCGTGTCGACAGTCTCCCAGAGACGGAATTTTAGCCCATCGACTTTCTACGTACTTGAGTGACGGCAGCGCAGCGCGGCGTGCGTGCGACCTTACGGACCTTTCCGACAGCGATTCTGGGGCGATGCTGCTCTCATTTGCGAGCGAGGCATGGCCACTGAAGTTTGTGATGGCTATGGCGTTTGTTTCCGCTCCGAAGTCGACTTGTTTTGGTAGTATCATGTCAATGTCGGAATTCTGACGATTTGCATGTGTACAATTTCCGTGTTTAGACGTAGAGGTGCCAATTTAGCAGCGTATGTGTGTGGTATGAGAAAATAAATTTTTCCATGGTCAAGAAGTAGTACTAGACTTCCAAGAAAACATAACTTGCACATACAAAATGTGGCCTCGTTGTGAGTTATTGGTATCGTTCTAAATGTTATGGATTTCATATACAAAAGTAACTTGCCGGTAAAGGGTTAATTGGTTCAATTCAGGTGGCACCACCCGAAGCTGCGTTTGTCTCCCCCTAGCTAGGTCTACCCCATTTGTAAATTCCCCTTTCTTTTCCTCCTACTCCACATGGCTCCAACTGTCTCCCAGTGTTAGACAAGCTCCAGATATGCCCAAATTCCGTACCCTCGTCAGACAGCACTTCAGTATCTCCCAGTAAACAAAGTCACAGTCACCACTTCCGCTGCATAGCTCGCTGAGCATCCCATTGCTTTGTAAGTTGCTAATCCCTTCCCACTTTGTTTACGTGCTCTTCATTTTCTTTTTTCTCTTCTTCCGTGGTTGGTCTCACCCTCTCCTCAATTCAATTGGCTGTCTTGACATGCCACGAGGTGCAGAAATAAATAAATAAATAAATAATAATAGTAATGAGAAATCTGGATCAGTATTGGTTTATATACTCACAAAGCAAAGTGTAAATACAGTGGTGTATGTGAACTGTGCAACCTAACCCGGCTGCATATGAATCATGTTGTGGTTAGGAGTCTAGGTTGTTTCTGAAAACAAGGTCATGATTCGGCGTTTTAGATTAGAACTACTACAATCCTAAACTCGGTATTTTGTTCACTACCCGGGACTAAGCAAGAACAACATTGTCCTTGTGGCTTGTCGTTTGTAGAGATTTGGCCAGTAATCAGATCCAGAATTTAAGTGATGGTGTGTTCTCTGGTCTAACAAACCTCCAAAGACTGTAAGTATTCTCAATTGCACCACTGAACGCAGGGAACAGTTGCATAACGTAGGGAACAGTTGCATAACGCAGGGAACAGTTGCATAACGCAGGGAACAGTTGCATAACGCAGGGAGCAGTTGCATAACGCAGGGAACAGTTGCATAATGCAGGAAACAGTTGCATAACGCAGGTAACAGTTGCGTAACGCAGGGAACAGTTGCATAACGCAGGGAGCAGTTGCATAACGCAGGGAACAGTTGCATAACTGTGTTTATATATAGTACTGCTTAATACGTAATGAACAAACCTGGAATATCTTTGAGTATTATAATCTGGAGAATGAAGTTGAAGACACCACAGCAGCTGTACTTGTGGTTGATAAATATGGTGGTAAAGACACACCTGGCAATATGGCGTTAAACACACGCCTGCCCACACATGCTCTCTAGGCTGCAAAGTTCTAGCACAGAGCTCTCCTTCTCACCACCACCACCATCAGTTCCCGCCTGGTGCCTAGTCGATGCATGTGTAGGATTCCCTTTCCTAATAGTAATACCAGACTATTCCCAGGTTTCATCAGACACTCAAACTGTTCATATCGATAGTAAAACTAAGGTTACTTGTCACAGAGGAGAGGAGAGAAAGGCAAGAAACACGTGAGCATGCGCGCGGCTTACAAGGCCAGAGATTCGTCACGTGGACAGGAGCAGGAAATACGAAATACAAATGTAAGAAAATAACAATCGTCAATAATCAGTGGCCTATACTACATGTTACTGAACAAATCAATGACTTCTCCAATCAGACTGTATTCAATATTCCATCTTCGGACAACAAGCACTAGCTCAAAAACACCAGCTTAGAGTTCAACACAACCGTTTTCAAACTCATCTGAAAACATCGTAAACACATCTGACCCAAAACAAAAAATGCAAATCACGAATATAGAACCAAAAGAACACCGTACGCACAGGTACGGGAGCACGCAGCTAGAACGATGATACATGTGAGACAATGGTGTAGTGATCAGCCAACAACGACCGCAAGTGCATTCATGAAACAGACAACTAGCCTAGCGGCAGACGCGCACTCATGCTTATGATACAAAGAACCAGCCACTGAGACAGTGCACAAAATAGCAACAAATAAGTAAACTACAAATGCACTACTGCACTAATACAAGGCAGAAACATGATGCACAAATTCGAACACACTAAATCGAACATTTCCTCCCTCTCGAACGAAGTCAACTGAGAGAGAATTCACACAGATATACGCTAGAGACTAGTAGCTAATTATCATATGAAAGACAACAAACTAATCTGCATTCCTAAACACTAGTGCCATAAGGAAACTCACATCAGAGTTCGTCATGCTCATTATCACGCTCTTTTCAGTGTGATGTCATACTACGGCAGACACTTCATCGACACCTTTAGAGCTGGTGGCGGGTACACTGGCCGGTGTAACTGCTTGCTCATCATCTGTAACTTCCAGTGGTATGAGGTTGTGCACCGCGCGTCGGTAAGTCTTCCCCTGGATCACGACATCCACGACTCGCACTACGCCGTCCGGACCCGGGAAGACTTCACTCACGCGGCCAAGAGGCCACTTTCCTCTAGGCGTATCTTTCTTCACAACGAGCAGCACGTCGCCAACCTCCACCTTGCGCTTGTCGCCACGCCACTTCGCGCGTACATTCAGCCGCGGCACGAGCTCCTTCAACCATCTTCGCCACACTTCCAATACCAGCCGTTGAACGTAAAGCCAGCGACGCCGCGGGTTGACCACCTCCTGACGATCGGCATTCTCTTCCATAGCTGTCCTCACATCCATGTGGCCGATAAGGAAGCTCAAAGGAGTCAATGGCCGTAAGTCGGTGGGATCTGATGACACCGTGGACAAGGGTCGGGAGTTGAGGAATGCTTCGGCGTGAACTAGCGCTGTCATGAGTTCCTCATCGGTAATGTCGGCACGTTGCAACACGTTCTGCAGGGCTCTCTTCACCGACTTGACAATCGCTTCGAACACACCACCGAAATGCGGAGATGCTGGCGGGTTGAAGCGCCAAGTCGCTCCGCGATCAGCCAGATTCGATTCAATCTTGCTGTTGTCCAGGGCAACAGCCGCCTCCCTCATTAGCCTCTCCGCAGCCACGAAATTCGTCCCGTTGTCCGAAACCACATCCATTGGTACACCTCGGCGCTTCACAAATCGGTCGAATGCCATCAGGAAGCCATCGGTGTCCAATGACGTTGCCATCTCGAGATGACAGGCTCTAACTTGCAGGCAGGTAAACACACAAACCCAGCGTTTCACCTGCGGTCGTCCACGGCCTTGCTTTGTGTAGAACGGGCCGCAGTAATCCACTCCAACCTTTGCAAATGGTTGAAGAGGTCCGCTTGTGCGGAAGTCTGGTAGCTGGCCCATGATTGGATGCGCAGCCTTGGCCCATGTGCGCTTACACCGCACACAATCATTCCGATGACGCTTCACGGCTGACTGGCCCTTGACAATCCAATACTTGACAGACAAGTTAGACAGAATGTGATTGACGCCCACAACATGGCCGCATCGGTCATCTTCGTCACTGACGATCAGCTGCGTGACGCGGTGCTTTGACGGTAGAATGACTGGACTCTGAACGCTCGTTGGAAGGTGATGGGCTGTACTCAGACGTCCACCAACCTGCATCATATCGCTCTGTGCATCGAGGTACGGCTTCAGGAACAGTTTGGATGACGGCTGACGAGCTGCTGTTCCACTTCCGAATGTGGAATCCTCCTTGAAGCAGAAGCGCCTGCATATCAGCTCGCAACTGAATCGCCTTTTCGTCAGACTTGCAGGACTTCAAGAGGTCGTCGACATAGAAGTTGTCTGCCACACTTCTCACGGCTTCCTTGGACGTTGTGTCAGCAAACCTATTCGCTGTTTCAAGCAGTGCGCGTCCTGCCAGGTATGGCGAGGCTTTGATGCCGAATACGAGCCTCAGGAACTCGAACGCTACGAGGTTGCCGTCCTTCTCCCACAGAAATCGATGATAGCACCTGTCTTCAGGTCTCAGCCTGACCTGCAAGAACATCTCCGAGATGTCTGCCGCAAGAGCCACGGCATCCTTGCAGAACCGGAGCAGAACATGGACCATGTTATTCTGCAACTTCGGCCCAGCGTACATCAGCTCGTTGATGCTGGGATGGGTCCCGTTTCTAGCCGCTCCGTCGAAGACGATTCTCACTTTGGTAGTTGCCTTGTCTTCTCTAACAACGGCGAAGTGCGGAAGGTAGTTCTGGTTGGCGCTGACAGACGGCACGTCTTCCAGAAGTCTGATGTAGCCTTTGCTAAGATAATCCTCCAAGACTGCCGCATACCGTAGCTTGACGTCTGGCTTCCTCTCCAGCATCCGCATGAGGCTGGTCAGCCGGCCATTTGCCAGTTCGAAATTGCTCCGAACCTCTGGTCCAGGTCCACCGCTGTGACACGGGATGCCGATCTGGAAACGCTCACCGTCATGGCTCAATGTTGCCGCTGTGAGGTCGTCCGCTGCCTTCTCGTCTGGAGTCATTGCGGGCGTAGGCGGATGTGGCTGCATTCCCACAGCCTCCAGACTCCAGAACTTCTTCACTAGCTCATCCAGCTCCTCCTCAGCTCCGGAGCTTTGAGAGACGCCGAGTAGAGTAGTGCTGCCACTGCTAGACTTGTTGACAGCATTTGGGCCAAACAGTACCCAACCGAGGCGCGTCTTCCGGGCTGTCGGGCCTCCCTCCGTGGGGCACGCACGCTCCTCAAGAGACGCATGCATCTCTGCCGCGTCTAATCCGATCAACAAGTCGACGGCAGTGCTGGGATCCACCATCGGTGGCAAGCTCTGCAGGTGGCTCCAGCTCGCCTTCTGCTGCTCCCACTCGACGGGTGGCACGGCTGCAGTGATTGTGGGTAGCACCCATGCCTCCAGCTTGCCTTCGTAGGAACCGTCCAGGCTGGCGATAACAAGGCTGGCCTTTTCCGTTTCCCCGACGATAGAGCTGCCTCCGAGCACCGTCGTCTCCATGCGACACTTCTCTGTCGTGATGCCGAGACTTCGAACAAGACCCCCAGTGACATGGCTGGCTGACGAACCCGAGTCCAACAGTGCTGTGGCTTGTGCTGCCGTACTGTTTCCGTGGACTGTCGTCTGAATGGTCATGAAGGCTATGGTGTGGTCGGCACTGGTTGTACAGGCACTGCTGCAGGAGTCTTTCTGCGTCTTCTCATCAGGTTGGCTGGCCTTCTTCTGCTTGTCGTAGTGCAGCAGACTGTGATGGCCACCTGGGCACTTCTTGCATCCGGCGCTCTTGCACTCCTTCGCAAAATGACCAGGCTGCAGGCATCGCAAACATAGCCCCACCAGCTTCGCCAGGTCCCATCTCTTCTGGACGCCAAGGGTCAGGAAGTTGGAGCAATCTGCAAGAGCATGGCTGCCTCGACACTTCCGGCACGTCCTCCTGTCAGAAGCTGCGGTTCTGGGCTGAGCATAGGCAGCTCTTGATGGTTCAGGCTCCGTCGGCTCGGCTGCCTGACTGGCGTTCGACACCAAGACCCTGTGCTTGCGCTGCTCTCTTTGAGCTGGCTGCTGATCACCGCCAGTTGAGAGGCGTGCATCAACGTGCCTCGACTGATTCACCCGTCTCATCAGCCATTGTGACAACTCCTGGGCATTGCTCCTGTTGTCGTCATGGCAATCCATGTAGCGTGACAGCATGCCACGTGGCAACTTCTGTGTGACCGCTATATACAGCTCCCTGCCTGGCTGCATTCCAGCAGTTGACATGTTCACAATGACATTGCGGAGCTTGACAGCGAGCTTTTGCAGCGACTCAGTGTCTTTCTCCATGACAATTCTGGGCAGACTCATGAGTTCCGTCTGCTGACGTTCTAGCTCGCGCTCACTGCTTCCGTACCAAGCTTCCAACTCCTCCAAGGCCGCTCTATATGCACCAGGCCCATCCAGCACCTCGCATAATTATCAGTTCCTCGGCCTTGCCACCATCTAGCGCCTCTCGTAAGCGAGCCATCTTATAATCCTCGGACACGGAGTAGTCATCATCCACCAGTCTCATAAATCTCTGGCGCCATCTTACGTAGCTCCTCTGCATGCCATCAAATCTGGGCAACTCCAGAGGCTTGACCTGATGTTGATTTATTCCTGCTGGTACTGGTACCTGCACTCTGTCAACCCAGTCTTGCACTCTCCTAGCACTGGCACACTGGTTGGCAGAAGGAGCCTGCAGTCTGGGATCAGCAGCCCTAGCAGTAGGAGTCTCAAAGTATGCACCACGTGCAGCGGCAGCCTCCCGTACAGGTTTGTGTGAGCTGGCAGGCTTGGACCTAGACTTGAATGCAGCTTGCACAGTGTTGGGTGCATGCCTGCTGTCACGGACACTTGAACCTGTCACTCCTGTGGTCAGCTCCGTGCTCTTGTCTGCACTCCGACTTGCACTGGTCTCAGCTGGATCACGAACACGTTCCCTGTCCCCCTTGTGCAACACAGCGGAACTCGGATCTTGAGCACACTGCAGTGACTGCACACGGCTTTCAACAACTACTTTTTTCTCGTCGCTTTTCACTTCATCAGCTCCGTTGGCTGCATGTTCTTCAACGACAAGCACTTCTTCCTCTACGTGCTGCTCTACTAGCACATCACTCCCCTGTAGTTCAACAGCTTCCATGGCTGCACTATCCAGCGGAGCTTGAGGTTGCTTGGGAAGCCCGGTGACACATGTTTTGAATGTCAATCCCGAACTTTCATCGACTGGTGAGCTCGACCGCGATGTCGATGAGAGAGAGACCTGCGCAGCCTCCATTTCCAGACGAAATATCCTTCTCTCTTGCTCCATTTTTTGCTCCAAGAAGGCTCGCTCCATGTGAGCCATTCTCAGCTCTGCCTGTACAACACTTGCTCGTCGCACCGACGACGCAGACGAGCTGATACTACTGCCAACAACACTGGCTCTGGTTGACACACTGCTTTCAGACACGGAGTCCACGTCCGACAGGCTTCCTGGGCTCAGACGACTTGCGGGTTCATTTCCCTCGTCCTGAAACCGTACAGGCAAGACACCTTGGTTGGATCGCGAACTTCTTCTTGGCGCAGCCATGTCGATCCGGCTCGAAGGACCATATGTTACTGAACAAATCAATGACTTCTCCAATCAGACTGTATTCAATATTCCATCTTCGGACAACAAGCACTAGCTCAAAAACACCAGCTTAGAGTTCAACACAACCGTTTTCAAACTCATCTGAAAACATCGTAAACACATCTGACCCAAAACAAAAAATGCAAATCACGAATATAGAACCAAAAGAACACCGTACGCACAGGTACGGGAGCACGCAGCTAGAACGATGATACATGTGAGACAATGGTGTAGTGATCAGCCAACAACGACCGCAAGTGCATTCATGAAACAGACAACTAGCCTAGCGGCAGACGCGCACTCATGCTTATGATACAAAGAACCAGCCACTGAGACAGTGCACAAAATAGCAACAAATAAGTAAACTACAAATGCACTACTGCACTAATACAAGGCAGAAACATGATGCACAAATTCGAACACACTAAATCGAACACTACACAATTCCCTCCTCTCACCATTCACGACCTCGTGAATAATAGGCAAGCAGGGCAAAAACAATTAAATTTTTACTAATTACGGGTATGCAATGACCTAACTACAAAACATAGTCATCAAATTTCGCAGGAGCAGTGCGGATCCGGCCTGATCGACGCACTCATACTGGGGTAGCAACAGGAGGAGGTAGGGGTGAGACGGCAACAGGCGGCGACAACGGAGGCGTACTCGGCACAGAGTCATCTGCATCATGGACAAACGACGGTAAGGAAACTGGTCACGATGAAGTAACTGGCTTCAAGCGATTGAAGTGAACAGTACGTTCAACTCCATTCAGCAATAACGTGTATGATGTCGGACCATGAACACGCACAAAAGTATGTGGACCAGACCAGAAACGATGAAATTTACGGTGCTCGCCAGCACGGATAACTGGATCATGAAGATATACTTGCTGACCGACAACATAAGGCTCACCATGAACGCGACGGTTATAGAACTGTTCTTGAGACGCATGAGCAAGATCAGCATTATGACGGGCTTCAACGTAAATATTCCGCAGAGAAGTGTCGAGACTACGGACATAGGTATGCATATCAGTGGAAGGTGGCGAAGGTAAATTGAACACAATATCAGCTGGTAACCGGACATCCGCACCATACAGAAGGCGCGCTGGACTGAATCCAGTGGACTTGTGCACTGCAGCACGATATGACAGCAAGACGAGAGAGAACGTTGCATCCCACTCCGTACTGGTTGGAGTAATGTGGGCACGCAGCCGACCTAAAAGAGTGCGGTTGACGCGCTCCACCAGACCATCGCCAGAAGGATGATACGGCGTGGTTCGCGTCTTGCGGATACCAAGGAGACAGCAGATATCCGCAAATAGCCGAGATTCGAATTGGGTCCCTTGATTTGAATGAAGCTGTTCAGGTGCACTGAACCGACTGATCCAACCATTAGCGAGAGCTGCAGCGACCGAAACAGCAGTGATATCGCGCAAAGGGAAAGCCTCGACCCATCGCGTAAAGTAATCTGCCATGACCAGAAGATACTTTTGGCCCTGTGACGTTTCAGGCAGAGGACCGACAATGTCCAAGGCAATAATTTCGAACGGATAACCGGCAATCATTGGCCAGAGTCTGATGTCATATATGGTCTAATAGAAATAATATAGGAACTATAGGTAAACAGTTTCCTCTGAGACAAAAATGCGATAATACTCATAAAAAGGACACACTTCAGGCTCATTACAAACATCTTGAAAGTTTTTGTCTTCACAAGTATACTTTCAAGCCTTCTCATCAGGTGAAATACAGGCAAGAGAAAAGGAACAGGAACAGTGGATTAAATACAGTAAGAAGGTGGTAAAACAGCGCAAAAAGAAAGAAAGAAAGAAAGAAGATAGCTAAAGTAAACAGCGAAAATTGCAATAATGACACAAAGGTGCAAATGCGAGAAAACTCAATAAGCGCGACATGTAGTGCGACAACAAGAGACAACCACTGGACATACATGTAACTAACGAGGTTTTGACGACCTACCTAACAGCCTAAGTGTGAATTTGATTTGTTTCTGTTTGCAAAGGTTGGGTTTCCTTGTGTGGATGTATACAGCTTCCAAAACATTCAGCAATCTAGCACTGCGTACACGTGACACAATCGAAAAACAATCATCCGAATACACAGCACGACAATCAGGATGCTCAAACAAATGACTAGCAATGGACGACTCATACTTATCAGAACTAACATCAGAACAATCAGCATGTGCGGTGGACACATCCGATTTCACATGGCTAGTCGAGTGGACCCTAGCCGTTGCCTCTGTCTGTGCTTTAGTCGCTGCCATCGCCGCCGTTGCCGATCTTGTTATTCTTCTGGTTGATGTGGTTCCTGTCACTGCCACGCACGTAGGTGTCTTGTCCGGTTGTTTTTCTGGTGGTCTAGTTAATTGTGAGGTGACGTTCCTTGGTGTTGATGCCGCTGCGTTGGACCATCTTGTACCAGGATGATTCTTTGCTGGACGTCCCCTCCGTGGTCGAGTGGATCGTGCGTGTTGTGGAATAAGGTGTAGCGGTGCGTGTTGTCGGATGCGTGCGTCCAGATGTTGAAGAGTCCTACCTACATATCGGCTCTCACATTGCCGACACTCGAAGTGATAAATCAACTTGGATAATTGGCCTGTAGGTAGGACGTCCTTCCTCACCGTGAACGCACGCACCGTGGAGTAGATGAAGCGAATATGAACATTATGGTAATTGGACTCCACGGCAGACTTAACCCGACGCTGAACCATACGTGATACTGACTCGCCCTTCCACGGTAAACATAGGTATACTGGATTAGCGGAAACTTCAGCATTCTTCTTTGGACTGGTCTCAGTTACATACTTCACAATAACAGACTCGGGGTATCTCAATGGATACCCCGAGTCTGTTATTGTGAAGTATGTAACTGAGACCAGTCCAAAGAAGAATGCTGAAGTTTCCGCTAATCCAGTATACCTATGTTTACCGTGGAAGGGCGAGTCAGTATCACGTATGGTTCAGCGTCGGGTTAAGTCTGCCGTGGAGTCCAATTACCATAATGTTCATATTCGCTTCATCTACTCCACGGTGCGTGCGTTCACGGTGAGGAAGGACGTCCTACCTACAGGCCAATTATCCAAGTTGATTTATCACTTCGAGTGTCGGCAATGTGAGAGCCGATATGTAGGTAGGACTCTTCAACATCTGGACGCACGCATCCGACAACACGCACCGCTACACCTTATTCCACAACACGCACGATCCACTCGACCACGGAGGGGACGTCCAGCAAAGAATCATCCTGGTACAAGATGGTCCAACGCAGCGGCATCAACACCAAGGAACGTCACCTCACAATTAACTAGACCACCAGAAAAACAACCGGACAAGACACCTACGTGCGTGGCAGTGACAGGAACCACATCAACCAGAAGAATAACAAGATCGGCAACGGCGGCGATGGCAGCGACTAAAGCACAGACAGAGGCAACGGCTAGGGTCCACTCGACTAGCCATGTGAAATCGGATGTGTCCACCGCACATGCTGATTGTTCTGATGTTAGTTCTGATAAGTATGAGTCGTCCATTGCTAGTCATTTGTTTGAGCATCCTGATTGTCGTGCTGTGTATTCGGATGATTGTTTTTCGATTGTGTCACGTGTACGCAGTGCTAGATTGCTGAATGTTTTGGAAGCTGTATACATCCACACAAGGAAACCCAACCTTTGCAAACAGAAACAAATCAAA